CCACGCAGCCCATTTTTTGTGTCGATCCTCGCGCAATACGACAACAGAAAAAAGAGCTGAATAGGAGACTACTTCCTCCCTACCTCTCCACTTGTCCCCTTCAATTATTGTTTCTCTTTCCGGACTAAATCAAACCCATGAATCGAATTCAGGAAAAATTTGAGAAGGTGTGTAATATGAGGAACCTTAAATCCCGATAATATACTAAAAATTGACACAGTTTTATCCATTTAAGGTTCCTAGAATTCGTTTAAACCTTAGGTAAAAATTCATCCACATAAATTAAGGGTGGTCCACGGGTGTAGTCCATGGACCGGGTCCACGTTGAGGTCGATGGCCATGAACTAGGTCCACAGAGGTGGTCCATGGATCAGGGGTCCATATTCAAGGTCACCGTCAGCCTCGCTTCCATTCATAACTAAAATATGGCCTATGAAGGTCTAAATCGCTGGCAAGTTTCCTGGCCTCCCCTTCGGAATTTTCTGGATCCACTCCTGTAGTTTTCTATGACCGTGTAAATTCTGAGCTTGTAACATGGCTTTGGCCTAGGAAACTATAAATGAGGGCTTCCTGGTGGACAATATTTTGTAATTATAACCACTTCGTTTTGTTTTCTTATGGGAAGCTAATTCTATAAAACCTTGGAAAAGATAAAAAAAGTGATTAAAATCATGGAAGATTAGAACGTACCCGTGAAGGAGACGAATCCACGAAGGTCTCAGGCCACATTCTAAATGTAGTAGAGACGAGGTTATCAATTCGCACAAAAGCAACAAGATAATGCGTTACTCTGTAACGCCTAAAATTGTAAGTAGTTAAAAATTCAACATGAGTAATGACTCTGACTTATAAATATTGACATGGCGGCGACTGATGTGGCATATACATGATCTCTCTATACCAGTCATCAATTTACAATCACACAAGTTCTCGATTAATTGCGATTAATAAACTGCAGCGATTTATCTGTGATAAGAAACAAAACAGTGGTATTGGAATTTGGTACAATAACGAGTGTTTGATTCAAAACTGCGATGAAAATAATAGGGCCATTTATACGAGGAAAAATAAGACGCCTCTTACATAAGACGCGAACTGTACCATTTATATAGAGCATGTCTTATCTAATAAGACGCGTCTTAGCTAAGCCGCGTCTTATTTCAGACCAAATGTGCCGTTTATACGGAAAGTTCGCGTCTTATTTAAGACGCGTCTTATGTAAGACGCGTCTTATTTTTCCTCGTATAAATGGCCCTTATTATGTCTCCGTCTACGTTATATTAACATAGAAATTAGGAAATTCATAAAATAAGAATTGAATGTCCACGGGACTGACATGGTCTTTGGCTCACTGGGAAGATTTGTAAGTCAGGCGGGAAGTCAGGAAATGTAAAAGACTGAAAAATTAACATGTGTTTTGATTCCACTTGACTACAAAAGGTTTGCTTTACAAATTGAATTATAATCACACCAAACACTGAACACCTGATTTGTCGTTACTTACGATCCCTCCGATGTGATTGGCGAAAAAAGGTGATCATAAAACACGGTCATTAATAAGCTAGCGAGAAAAATCCCGTTTTCAAAAGAGCATGAGCCGGACTGAAGAGGAAGTTAAAGAAAGTACTAAAGAGTTATCAACCGTTGAGAATTTTATTCTTTCTTGAGTGTTAGACGTGATATTGAAACGGTCGAACGCAATGAATTTTTTCCTCAAAGCTTTACTGTGCGCTTTTTTGGTGAAGGCCATTGCAAAATCAGCGGTCCCCACAAAAAGTGGTACAGATTCTAGAAAACCACAGTGTAATGTAAACAACTACTTTTATGCCGGACCGAATACTAAGAAGATCGAACAACAACTGGCCGAAATCAGAGAAGAAATCAAGGTGCTCAAAGAAAACCGAACTGGTGGTGGCGGTTCTAACGGCAAAGGTATTTCTTTGAACAGCCCTCTTTTCACTGTCTTTTAGCGCTCTGATCCTAGCGATTCAGTACTTTCTTTTAAGCGCGCTTATTGTCTGCAAACGATTGATCAGTTGTGTTTCGATTCACGGCTTAATAACAGCAACCAGGAGGTTTTACGACTTAAACGGCCTACTCGCTGATGGGCAAGCGAAGTAAGTGCCAATAAGTGCGTACATTCATCCCATAGTGGTCTATATTAGCCCCGGTTCAACGAGGGTCGTTTTAAACTTTAGGATGAGTAAGTAAGGCCCACTACTCCATATCCACTGTGGAAAAGAAGAGCCCAAAACCATCAGCAAGAGAATAATAAGCTGTTCATAAATTTGCGTATAAGTATCGGGTAATAAGGTTGAATATAGGACTGTCATATCATCATATCACTAGTACAAGTCTCCTGCGGAAATTCACACGAATCCGATTTTCATTTACAATTTTCCTTTTCCACTAGTCGTAAGCGTTACACTGGCCGTTCTATTTTCAGTTTACAAGAACTGTGCCGAAATTTACCAGTTCGGTATAAAGATCAATGGAGTGTACAAAATCAATCCTGATGGTTTGGGCGAATTTGAAGTGTACTGTGATCAGAAAACTGCTGGCGGAGGTTGGACGGTGTTCCAGAAGAGACAAGATGGCTCTGTGGATTTTTACCGCTCTTGGGATGACTTCAAACGAGGCTTTGGTAATCTGAACGGCGAGTTTTGGCTGGGACTGGACAAGATTCATCGTCTGACTGTAAGCGGCAGTTACAAGCTTCGCGTGGACTTGGAAGATCTTCATGGCAGTACAGCATTTGCACAGTACAGTTCATTTGCTGTGACAAGTGAAAGGGCAAAATACCAATTGAGTTTGGGAAGTTACTCAGGTACGTTATGACACCCCGGTTTGTGATTTCAAGCCTAATAAATCGAACATGAAGCTCAAGACGAGTTTTGGTAAATACGCACCATGCAATGTAATCTGAGTTTGAGGCCTTCTCACCTTCGTTCTCCTCCCCCCCACCCCCTTCAGTCTTCTTTACAAGAAAAGCCTCGGTGCCCTACCCGAGCTACATGCGATAATGCAATTAATTCGGCCGAANCTGTGCCGAAATTTACCAGTTCGGTATAAAGATCAATGGAGTGTACAAAATCAATCCTGATGGTTTGGGCGAATTTGAAGTGTACTGTGATCAGAAAACTGCTGGCGGAGGTTGGACGGTGTTCCAGAAGAGACAAGATGGCTCTGTGGATTTTTACCGCTCTTGGGATGACTTCAAACGAGGCTTTGGTAATCTGAACGGCGAGTTTTGGCTGGGACTGGACAAGATTCATCGTCTGACTGTAAGCGGCAGTTACAAGCTTCGCGTGGACTTGGAAGATCTTCATGGCAGTACAGCATTTGCACAGTACAGTTCATTTGCTGTGACAAGTGAAAGGGCAAAATACCAATTGAGTTTGGGAAGTTACTCAGGTACGTTATGACACCCCGGTTTGTGATTTCAAGCCTAATAAATCGAACATGAAGCTCAAAACGAGTTTTGGTAAATACGCACCATGCAATGTAATCTGAGTTTGAGGCCTTCTCACCTTCGTTCTCCTCCCCCCCACCCCCTTCAGTCTTCTTTACAAGAAAAGCCTCGGTGCCCTACCCGAGCTACATGCGATAATGCAATTAATTCGGCCGAACCTGCTGTATCAGTATGAGAAAACAAGCGTTTTATAACTTTTCTAGCTCGTAAAACTATTGTCTAGATCATATTGAACAGATGATTACTTTGTTTGGACAGCAAACCGCTTAATCAAACATCTTGCCAGCAACTCATATGAAAAACTAGGACGATATAATTCACGGTGTTGTTGTTGTCTGATCATTTTTTTTTAAGGTACCGCTGGAGATTCCCTTGCGTATCACAGAGGATATCCATTTACCACCAAAGATCGTGATAATGACAGCAAGAGTGGTAACTGTGCCGTGACATATAAAGGCGCCTGGTGGTACAATAATTGCTACGACTCCAACCTGAATGGTTTGTATCTTCACGGCAAGCTCAATAGTCAAGGAATGGCGTGGCACAAGTGGAAAAAGAACAGCTACTCTGTGAAGAGATCTGAGATGAAGATACGTCCGAGGGATTTTTAAGATTCAATTATGTCGTTTCTTTCGGTAAAACAACCATGTATACGAGGGACGTTAAATAGGGTGTAATCAGGTGTATTGCTGAAAGGGTACTTTGCTTTAAATCTTATTGTAATCGCGCTAAGCTTTTAAAGACTATCAGATAGAGTTTGAAAATCTTATTTAGGTAACATTTACGATGGCTCAGTAAGCTCTACGTCGCACAAGGGTCCATCTAAGTTGAACAGTGAAAGTGGATGACGAAACTTTCAGTGAAAACCACTGAGTAAAACAAATAACTCCAGGCACTTCTGATCATTTCTTTCACTTTAAACTTGCGGATTGTGAGCAAGGTGTGCATTGCTTAATATCTATCAGTTCAGAAATGAAATTATCAAACTTATCTGCTAGAATAATATAAAACGGGTTGTAAGGCTACCGCAGAAAGGGAGTAATAAAGTTGTCACTAAGGTGTAGAATTTTGTGTGTGTGTGTGTGTGTGTGGCTAAGTTAAAGTATCGAAAAGTAACATTCAGGTATTTCTTTGACTGTGTAACATGATTTAAAAACTGTTGTTTTAATAGTACGAGAAGCATTAGGAGACTCGTAAGCCTCCAGTGTTTCCCGAAATTGGGTCTTACAGATAAAAATCATGACCTTTTAAAACACGTGACATCAATTTTTCGAAACACCAAAGGCCGAGGGATGACATGAATGTTTGTACCAACGGTGTGTACAACAAATGCAAATCTTGAATACACAATAGCAGAGTATATTTAATCCAACCAATAAAGCAGTAGATAAGACTCGAAAAACAGTTATTTACAACGTAAGTTGTACTCACACCTAAAACATCGGTGGGTCTTATTCACAAATTGTCGTAGTTAACGGAAACAATGTTCCAAGAAAACAAAAAAAAACAATGTTCCAAGTGAAAAGAAGTTGTTCACTTGCAATTTTCACAGAAAATTGCTCAGCAATTTTTAAACCACTTTAATTTCCAATTTCTTCTTAGGCGACCGAAGTAATTTGACTCCAGGTCAAATAAGGAACGAATAAAACCGATCATGCGATAAATTACAAGCTATAAGTACTCATTTAACTGTTTTAAGCAACCATGATAACTTAACGAGAACACGTGACAGTCTCATGGATCTCACGCCCCGCACAGTTATCCGTCCCTGGTGCTTTACGCCTGTGTTGGTTATCCTGTGGTACCTCAACTGGGGTGTTAAAATTGAGGATGTTACGGTCATCTTAGTACGGTCTGTAAAGGTAATTGGAAAGCGGGTACGAATGGCGACGATCATCCTCAGGTACCAACAAAACCACGATTAACAAGTTGTCAATTTAATAGCGCATGCGCGGTAATACGTTAAAGTGGATCCGGGATAACTGAACTGCAAGGTACATAAAAATTAAGACAGATAAAAATTAAGAACACTGAACAAAGTACTGTAGTTGTGAGATTAAGATAAAGAATTTGGATTTACGGCAGGGGCGACAATTTAAACGGGTACTTGCCTTACAGAAAGCCGGAGAGAACAGAGAGAACGGACAGATCAAATACCAAGAAAGGCAATCATTTTTGAGCACAAGATCTACAGAATAAATGTTTCCGGTGACCTGATAGTACATATATATGTTCATCCCAAAATGACAAATTATTTGCAACCAAGTAAGAAAGTTCAGCAAAATAGTGCAGTTGTAACGGTAAGAGGTAAACAAAGGAATTACATTTGAATTAAGGGTAGGAGCGACCATTTACGAAATAGATCCTTGCAATAACGAAAGACAGAAAGAGAGGACGTTACCTAACTAAATAAAAAAGCAAGAAGATTTCGCGTACTCTTGTACGGCATCCCTTCCTTACTTGGGAGAATAAGGTTTTTGATCGTTTAACTTACCCTGTTGGGAGGTCGTTGTCGATTGTAATGCTGCTGCTGCTGTCTAGGGTCACGTGACGAATGTTGATAGCTACTGCGAGAGTACTGAGATTGACTCGACCCAGGTCCTCGAGAGTACGCGTTTGATTGTGACCAGTTTCCTTGGTAATTGCTCGAGTTGTACTGGGACCGATTACCTTGGTAACCCCCTCAATTGTAATGTGATTGGTTACCATGGTAGCCCCCTGCGTTGAACTGTGGAGCGCGAATTCTGTGAGGTCATAGATCTGTCGTCTTGGATCATGATTACCATGTCACGATACAGGTGTACCCGGATTGGATCTTGGACGATCAGGGTAACCATGCCTGGAATCATTCTGCGGAGGGCATGAGTTCGACCGAAAGGGCGGCACATAGCTGGCGGGAGTGTAGGGACGAAAAAGATCCCCTTCGTGAAAACTGAGAGAGAAGAAACTGAAGAGAGAAAAACTGTCATGGAAATGTTACGCTTAAAAGAGAACAGCGTATATCGCTTCCTTCAGATGCTTTATGAGTATATTGAATAGTATATGTAATAAGACTACATGCTGTCCAATTTGGAAATAATTGGATGAAAAAAATTTCGAGGACAGCCAAATTTTGTAATTTCTACCCCTTAGTGATAAGACGGGGATCCCCGTCATTTTTGTATGATAGTCCCATGCGAAATATCCGGAGTTCCCCCCGCGAAGCCACATCAGAGGCCGTTAAGTGTAAATTCGCACAAATTAAAAAAGATAATGTGACACTCTGTAACGCTTGAGTGAATAAACTAAAATGAAGTAGTTTACAATTCAACATGAATGCAATAAATTAATATCGACGTATCGGCGACTGAGGTGCGGTGGCTAGTCTCGACTCTCTGTTTACCGGTTATCACTTTACAATCATAGAACTGAGTTCTTGTTCAATTACGAATTTTAGACTCAATGCAGTTGTTAAAAGAAACAACAAACAAAGGAAAAAAGCAGTAGCATTGGAATTTCTTACAATATCGGGTGCTGGTTCAAACCTGCGACGAAAATAACATGTCTGTGTCTGTATTATGTTAACAAAGAAATTACGAAATAAAAAAAAAAGTTACGAAGGATTGAATGTGCGTGGAACTGATAACAGTTCATGGCACACTGGGAAGTTTTCAAAGCCAGAAAAAAATATCAGGTTTTGTAAGAGACTGAACAATTAATAAATCATGTTGTTTTGATTTCACTTGACTACATAAAGTTTGCCTAACAAAACAAATAGAATTATAATAACATCATCATGAAACAACAACTGCTTTGTCCTTACTCAAGATTTTTCAGTGTGATTGGCGAAAAAAATGTGTTCAAAACACGCTGTCAATAATAAGCCAACGAGAAAAATCCCGTTTTCAAAAGAGCATGAGACTGAGGGGGAAGTTCAAGAAAGCCCTAAAGAATTATCAACCACTAAGAAATTGATTCTTTCTTTAGTGCTACTGTAGACGTGATACTCGAACGATCGAACACGATGAATGTATTTCTCCAAGCTCTACTGTGCGCTTTTTTGGTGAAGGCCATTGCAAACTCAACGGTCGCCACAAAAAGTGGCACTGATGCTAGAAAACCACAGTGTAATGTAAACAACTACTTTTATGCTGGACCGAATACTAAGAAGATCGAATAACAACTGGCCGAAATCAGAGAAGAAATTAAGGCGCTCAAAGAAAACCGAACTAGTGGAGGCGCTTCTAGCGGCAAAGGTATTTCATTGAACTCTCCCTTTTCAGTATTTTAGGGCTCTGATCCTGGCGTCGCGAGTTTAGTACTTTCATTCAAGCGCGCTTATTGTCTGCAAACGGTTGATATCTTCTCAGTCACTTGTGTTTCGTTCTCGGCTTAACAGCAGCCCAGATTTTTTGCAACATTTAACTGATAAACGATGGGCAAGTAAAGTGAGTGTCAGTGAGTGCGCATTGGTCTGTACTAGCGCCGGTTCAAAGAGGGTCGTTTTATTCTCAGGATGAATAAGTACAGCCCACTATTTCATATCCACCGTGGGAAAGAAGGGTCCAAAACCGTCAACTAGAAAATAAGTTGTTCACAAATTTGTGCATAAGTTTCTATTAAGGTTGGATGTCAGTAGCCTCGAGTGGAAATTCAAACGAATTAGACTTTCATTTACAATTTCCCTTTTCCAGTTGTCGTGAGCATTACACTGGCCGTTCTATTTTCAGTTTACAAGAATTGTACAGAAGTTTATCAGTTCGGTATAAAGATCAATGGGGTGTACAAAATCAATCCTGATGGTCTGGGCGAATTTGAAGTGTACTGTGATCAGAAAACTGCTGGTGGAGGTTGGACAGTGTTCCAACAGAGGCAAGATGGCTCCGTGGATTTTTACCGCCCTTGGCATGACTACAAACGAGGCTTTGGTAATCTGAACGGCGAGTTTTGGCTCGGATTGGACAAGATTCATCGTTTGACTGTAAGCGGCAGTTACAAGCTTCGCGTGGACTTGGAAGATCTTCAAGGCAGTCCAGCATTTGCAGAGTACAGTTCATTCGCTGTGACGAGCGAGAGGGTGAAATACAAACTGAGTTTGGGCAGTTATATTTGGGCAGTTATTCAGGTACGTCTTTTTAGGACACTTCAGTATGCAATTTTCCGCCCAAGATATCGAATATGAAGAAAGCCCCACGTATCAGGCCTTCTATCATTTGCCCGTTTCTCTTCTTTCTCCAAAGAAAGTCAAGAAAAGCCTTAGTGCCGAGGCTACATCCAGCCTCGTCCCCAGATCAGTTCGCGCTATGCGAATAGGGTTTTTAAAATACCACGACGGCGACGACAACGAGAACGTCAAAAAGCAATGCTTTAAGATTAGCAAAACAACAACTCTGCACGTGCATCACGCTTTTTTGTACATTTCATTGCCATCACTGACACTGTTCGACTACCGCGGGAAAATGCCCAATTTCACGTTTTTATGGAGGACGTAAACAAACGATGGCTAAATTTTCCTTCTCTTTCTTAACTTAAATATGGTTCTATAATACGAACTCGACTCAAAAAATAGTTCGTTGCATTTGACAAAGTAAATGAGTTAAAGTCATCGCGGTAGAGGTTGAAAGAACCCAAATTCACCTTTCGAGCGACGTTTTCGTGGCCTTCGCCGTCGTGGTATCTTAAACCCCCTAATGATCGGAGGAGTCTGGGAACCGAACGTCCAGGGCGAATACTGCCGACATACTTAAAGGGGACGTCACATCAAAACTCGCCAAGGACGACCGGTAATGATGCTGGACTATACGATATAAACGCAAATCTAGACTGACTACTTGCTCTACTTTGTTAGTGTGCGTCAATTTAAAAAGGGAACTTGTATAACTTACGTTTTGAGACTTAAAAGCTTGTAAAACTATTTGAACAAAATTTACTACATGATGAATAAATAAATATAATTTTACTGGTCACTTGGTTTTCTCCAGTCAGCAGCAATATTCAAATCAAAAGCCTCTCATTCATCATATGAAAAATAGGGACACTATAATTCAAGGTGTTGTTTTTGTCCTTTTTTAAGGTACCGCTGGAGATTCCCTTAATACACACAGAGGACAGCCATTTACCACCAAAGATCGTGACAATGACAATAACGGTGGTAGTAACTGTGCCGTGAAATATAAAGGCGCATGGTGGTATAACAATTGCTACCAATCCAACCTGAATGGTTTGTATCTTCACGGAAAGGTCAGTTGTCAAGGAATAGCGTGGTTCCTTTGGAAAAGTAACTGCTACTCTGTGACGAGATCTGAGATGAAGATACGTCCAACGGATTTTTAAGATTCAATTATGATCGTTTCTGTCTGTAAAAACCACGTAAACAAGTAACATTAAAAGCGTGTAACGAGGTGATAAATTGCAAGGGTTATATTTGCCTTAAATTTTATTGTTATTGCGCTGAACTTTAAACAGACATAAAAAAAACAAAAACAAAAAGAGTTTGAAAATCTCATTAAGTAAATATTTACCGATGAACAAGGGTCCATCTGCCGAGTTGAACCCTGCAAGAAGATGACGTTTTTTTTTTCATACGTGAGATTATCAAACTTGGAGTAATATATAATAGGTTGTAAGACTACCGCAGAAAGGGTGCAATAAAATTGTTACTAAGGTGTGGAATTAAGAGATTTTGTTTCTTTGCGTGTGTGGGTGGGTGGTTGCGCGCGCGCGTGTGTCTGAGTTAAAACCGCATTCCAGTCTTCTCAATTAGACGATGGGCGTTTCAGGTTGTTTGTTAGCCTCTAGTTTTTCCCATAATTGGGTCCCTTACAGATAAAAATTATGACCTTTTTAAACACGTACAATCCATTTTTCGGCGAACCGAAGGCCAAAGAATGACTTGGATGTTTGTAGCGATCATGTGCACCACAAACGCAGATCTTTAATATACAATGGCAGAGTACATTTAATTCGACCAATAAAGTAGTAGAAAAAACTCGACAAACAGTTATTTACAGCGCAAGTTGTACTGCGACCAAAAACATCGATGGATCTGCGACATAAACTGTTGTAGTTAATGAAAACTGTTGCCGCTTTAAGCCATCCTTAATTGATCATGTATGAAGTTAAGCCGCTTGTGAAGGATATATAAAAGGAAAATTCCTCTTGGTTGTTAAGGTGCTTTCTTTAACATTCCTTTTAAACTCTTCACGTGGAATTTGAGAATACTATTGTCAAAAACTTATTTAGTTTTGACCTATTTAAAGAGCAACCGAAAACAATGTTCCAAGTGAAAAGAAGTTGTTGACTTGCAATTTCCACAGAAAATTGCCCAGCAATTTTTAAACCACTTTAATTTCTTCATTTCTCAGTCGGAGGCGACTGACGTGATTTCACTCCAGGTTAAATTAGAAACGAATAAAACCGATCAGGTAATGAATTACAAACTATAAGGAACACGACACTCATTTAACTGTTTTAAGAAACCACGATAACTTAACGAGAACACGCGACAGACTCATGGATCTCACGCCCCCCATTGTTATCCGTCCCTGATGCTTCACGACAGTGTTGGTTATCCTGTGGTACTTAAACTGGGGTGTTAAAAATGGGAATGTGTCGGCCATCTTAGTACGATCTGTAACGGTAATTGGAAACCGGGTAAGAATGGCGACGATCATCCTGAGATACAAAAAAACCACGATGAAAAAGTTGTCAATTTAATAGCACATCCGTGGTAATATTGAGGATGGCGCATAACGCGCATCCTGGACAATTGAACTACAAGGTCGATATGTTTTGGGTGTCCGTATAGTGTACCTGTAACTTTCTGATTTATATTCTGTATTCCAGTTAACCTCAGCATCGTTTTAGCCACGTTAACTTTTCCTCTCTTTGTTATCATTAGTATATTTACATAAGTTACTTTTGTTTAGTTGTGAACTGAATATAATTTGGAGAGCGTATTTTGTTTTCTTTTTACATACTTTAGACACTGCCCACCTAGACTAGCCTTTGCTATTTGAGGGCAGTGAGAGAATAAAATTGTAAATTTGAATGAAAATATGAAATGAAATGAAATGAAATGAAATGATAGGACATATGTTCATTCAAAATGAAAAATCATTTGCAGCCCTGCAAGAAAGCTCAGTAGAATAGTGCAGTTGTAACGGTAAGCGGGAAACAAAGGAATGACAATTGAATTAACCCATTAAACCCTAATATCAAAATTGAGATTCTCATTTACTGTCCCTATACTTTTTCAATAAAAGTAGTGGGGAGAATTTGTTGAAATATCAATTAGACTCATCTTCCCTGATCATGTACTCAAATTCTCATGACCACTCTGTTTTAGAAAGCATTGATATTACAAGGAGAAATTTGATGCTGATCACTCTTAGGGCTTAAAGGGTTAAGAGTAGGAGAGACCATTTACGAAATAGATCCTTGCAATAACGAAAACAGTAAAAGAGAAGTCAGAACGTTACCTGAATAAATGGAAATGCAAGAAGGTTGCGCGCCTCGTGTGCGGCATCGCTTCCTTATTTGGGAGAAGAAGGTATTTGATCGTTTAAATCATCCTGTTGGGAGGTCCTTGTCGATTGTAATGCTGCTGTTGCTGTCTGGGGTCACGTCAACCTCGTCCCCAGGGCACTTTTCCCTTGCTTTAGGGGCAGGGCGCCCCGCCCCCAAAGCCAGGGAAAAGCGCCCTGGGGACGAGGTTGGGGTCACGTGACGAAGGTTGATAGTTACCGCGAGAGTATACTGAGATTGACTCGACCCAGGTCCTCGAGAGTACGCGTGTAATTGTGACCAGTTTGAATATGTAATAGGACTACATGCTGTCCAATTTGGAAATAATTGGATGAAGACAATTCCGAGGATAGCCAAAATTGGACGAGGCCGTGGGAGGAAGTTTTTAAATTCAATTATTTCCAAATTGGACGAGCATGGAGTCCTATTACTCATTAGATCTTAAACGCACCGACACGTTTAGACCAGTTCTTAAGAAATATTTTTTACAATTACAGTTTTTGGAGCAGTTGCAATTTACTGCCACCTTTACTACGCTTACACAACAGCAATACATTAAATGCTAAAAATGCAGGGATCCTACTGATTTAACGTATTTCAAAAGCAGCTTATATTGTTACCATTGTTGCTAAATGTACCGCTGGAGATTCCCTTGGTGGTCATCCAAGACTTCCATTTACCACCAAAGATCGAGATAATGACGCCCAAGGAAACAATTGTGCCGTCCTTGCTATCAAAGCGCATGGTGGTACAGCGGTTGCTTTTCTTCCAACCTAAATGGTTTGTACCTTCATGGAAAGGACAGTACTCAAGGAATGGCATGGTACACGTGGAAAAATAACTACTACTCTGTCAAGAGATCCGACATGAAGATACGTCTAAAGGATTTTTGAGTTTCAATTATACTGTATTTGTCAGTAGTAAGACAACCATGTGTACAGGGGAATAGCATATATGTAGTCAGGTGTAATGCTTATTAAGGGGTGACTGCTTTTGTGAGCGACACCTTAGAGTAGAAAATTCCCTTTCTGACCTTGCTCTCCTAAATAAATGGGACCAAAATTTACCTCTTAGTGATAAGACGAGCATCCCCGTCATTTTCATGCGATAGTCCCGTACGAAATGTCCGGGAGTTCCCAGCGGGCGAAGCCACATCAGAGGCCGTTAAGCGGTAAATTGGCAAAAATTAAAAAAGATAATGTGTTACCCTGTAACGCTTGAGTGAATAACCTAAAATGAAGTAGTTTACAATTCAACATAAATATAATAAATTAATATCGACGTAGCGGCGACTGAGGCTGCAGTGGCTAGTCTCTGTATACCGGTTATCACTTAACAATCACACAACTGAGTTCTTGTTCAATTACGATTTTTAGACTCAATGTAGCTGTTAAAAAAAAAAAGAAACAAACAAACCAAAAAAAAGCAGTGGCATTGGAAGTTTTTACAATATCGGGTGCTGGATTCAAAGCTGCGACGAAAATAACATGTCTGTGTCTGTATATATACAACAAAATTAGGAAATAAAAAAAAATTGTCACGAAGGATTGAATGTGCATGGAACTGATAACAGTTCATGGCACACTGCGAAGCCAGAAAAAAATATATCAGGTTTTGTAAAAGACTGAACAATTTATAAATCATGTTGTTTTGATTTCACTTGACTGCATAAAGTTTGCCTAACAAAACAAATAGAATTATAATAACATCATCATGAAACAACAACTGCTTTGTCCTTACTCAAGATTGTTCAGTGTGATTGGCGAAAAAAATGTGTTCAAAACACGCTGTCAATAATAAGCCAACGAGAAAAATCCCGTTTTCAAAAGAGCATGAGACTGAAAGGGAAGTTCAAGAAAGCCCTAAATAATTATCAGCCACTATAAGAAATTGATTCTTTCGTTAGCTCTACTGTACATACTCGAACGATCGAACACGATGAATGTATTTCTCAAAGCTCTACTGTGCGCTTTTTTGGTGAAGGCCATTGCAAACTCAACGGTCCCCACAAAAAGTGGCACTGATGCTAGAAAACCACAGTGTAATGTAAACAACTACTTTTATGCCGGACCGAATACTAAGAAGATCGAACAACAACTGGCCGAAATCAGAGAAGAAATCAAGGCGCTCAAAGAAAACCGAACTGGTGGTGGCGGTTCTAACGGCAAAGGTATTTCTTTGAACATCCCTCTTTTCACTGTCTTTTTGTGCTCTGATCCTAGCGATTCAGTACTTTCGTTTAAGCGCAGGCCTACTCTGGGACCTTAAGTCGCCGTAATTTTAGGCGACTTAAGGCGATTTAAGGCGACTTTAGGAAAATTTGGTCAAAATGTTGCGCGACTTAAGGCGATTTAAGGCGACTTTAGGTGACTTAAGGAGAAAAAGGTGACATTTAGGTGAGTTACATGTTAGTGAATATGTTGCAGTTAATTTTTAATTTCAGTTAATTTGTGGTTTTCCTTTGTTTTAAATTCATTAGCATACATAACCATACCCAGAAACGATGGAAAAATAAAAATTAACTGAAAGAAAAATGAACTACAACATATACAAAATCAAAATCTGATAACACTACCTCTCTAGGGACACAATGTTGTAGCATAAGTTAATTCAGTCTTGAAGACATCTACATTAGTCTTCCAAATTTACAACAATCCCAGCTACCTAATATTTTGAACATTAAATATCAAGGTAGCTTGTGTTGCAGGTGTATTCTAACCGTGGTTAGTAAAATTTGCAAAGCAGCTCTAATATCCTTGTTCTGGGCCCTGATGCACTAAATGAATTACCAGCATTTTGAGTTCCCCTTCAACATGATTGGCAAATGGACAATGGCATTTTTAACAGTCCAGTCCTGGCATGTTCTCTAATCCTGATACACACACAGGGGGCCCAGAACTAGGATTTTGCCACTGTTTTGCAGATGGACTTAACCCAGAGTTTAGTTCCATCTGTGGCACAGGCTAATATCAAGGGTGTTGGTTTAGTATTACATTAGCAGAGACAAAATCTGAGTTAGAAGCAACCAAAAGGGTAAATTTTCTCTTGGTCTTTAAATGCATTATTTCATAATATAAGGGACAAAAAATCAATGGTTCCTGCATTTCTTTTTCCAAAAAATAAAACCCTAAAAGTAGAGTATTTCAATACATCTCTGTAAAATACTGTGAGCTGGTTTGCAGCAAAAACTTTATATTGAAATGTCTTTTTTTTCATAATTTGACAACAAACATTTAAGTAATTAATTTAAAACATCTAAAATCACTTATCGATATCGCACATTATGGAAATGACGATCCCCATTGTATGTCTTGGCAGTTGCTCTGCCAATGTTTGTCCCCACACGTTTGGCTAAGAGGATGTTTTTCCAATTGAATTCAAAACAAAAAGTTTGTAGTTCTCGCCGTATATATATTGCTCCTTTCCTGTCTCAGTCAAACAAAACACTTCCAAATACTTGCTTCGCTAGTGAACCGTACTCTCTTATCCATGGTCTCTCTGGAAACTTTCCAGTCGGGTTGATTTCATGAGTGCATTTATGCACCAGCAGAAACGTAAACAACTAAGCTTAGCTTCAACCAACCTCTCTCGGTCTGTTCCACGCGGCAGCGTTTACGCTCTCAGCACAAAAGGAAGCATTATGCGTCATGTTTAAACCGATGGCAGTACCAAGTGTAAACGTTTCCATTATTATGTCAGAAATTTCCATTTAAAAGGAGATCTTTATACGAAAACGCGAGGTACAACATTCTATCCGCCATTTTGCTTCTCCCAGAATTCCACTGCAGTCGCAAGCTAATTTCCATGGTTTCTCGGTCCCGCCCTCTCCCCGCCTCCAGACCAGTTAGTCACGTGATCAAAACACACTACTTTCTGGGCGGCCATAACGTAGAGGAAAGAACAGTATTATTTCGCTTTTCTACGTTCTTCATCAATAATGATCGATTACATCAAATCGTTTGGCAGGGAGCAATCACGACAACATAAACAAAGAGCAGTATTACGCACCTTCGATGTACAAAGCTTGAATTTCTGTCTGGAAGGGAAGACCTAAAGAGACGACTGTACAAGCTAAGCTAAGTGTTCAAGTTTATAAGAGTGATTGTGTTTCTGTCAATGATAGATGGATATAATTCGACGGTAAATACAGATCAGAGGTTGTGTGCCGGAGAAAAAACTTATCATTAGTTGCTCTTAAAATCTGGGTCGGTAATTTACATGGACACTTTTTTCGATTGACCTTTAGACTTGTATTAACTACCAGAAAATTTAGATTAATGTTGTGGCGGCAATAATTGTTTTTTTCTCTCCCTTCAACCTACCTGTATTGATCTTAGTTACTTGAAATGTCTTTCAATGTTGGACTCTCACAAAGCAGTAGAAAAGAGTTTTAACTATATTTTGTTCAGGGTGCAAAGAAAGTCGGCTTTACAGCTTGCCTAGCATACACTAGCCTGAAAGCCATTTTGACTAACCCCAATTTTTTTTATGAATGGGACTGATTACAGTTCTTCTGTAATCTGAATTCCCTAAAAAACTTTACTTGCCAGCCAGGCAAGTTAAAAACGCAGTTCACTAGCCCAATCATAAAATCCAGTACCCCAGGGCTATTGCCTGGACACTACTCTGTCTACTCTCTTTGCACACTGTTTAATGTAGTTTAGCTAGAACTTGAACCTTTGAATGCCTTTTTAAACAATATTTTTACTGAGAAATATGAGACAAACCTCCCGGATGAAATTAATAAAATACCTGTACAAGTGACTGGATAAAGTTGTGTACTATATGTTGTCATTTTTGCATAAACAATACAGGAATGATTATTCTTGTATTGCTTACGACTAATTATTACGTGTAGTAAATTGTGTAAAGTAATTAAATGTATAAATTAGAGGGCTGGAGAAGAAATTAATGGGTCTTAAGTCACCGTGGGAGTTTTTTTGTGGGGGGTGGGGTGGGTCTGTGGCTAATATTATTGAACACGGGTTATTATACACTTTATGAGAAATCATGCATTCTGGAAATAGAAAACTAAAAAAGTAATAACTACAAGACAATTTGAACCTCGTTAAGATTTGAATGATTTAGTGACTTAAGGAAACTAAAGGCGACTTTAGGCGACTTAAGGCGATTTTAGGCGACTTAAGGCGATTTTAAGCGACTTAAGGCGACTTTGGGCGACTTTAGGCCACTTTAGGTCCCAGAGTAGGCCTAAGCGCGCTTATCGTCTGCAAACGATTGATCACTAGTGTTTCGGTTCACGGCTTAAAAACAGCAGCCCGAAGGTTTTACGACTTAAACAGCCTACGCGCTGATGGCCAAGCAAAGTAAGTGCCAATGTGTGCATACATTCATCTTATATTGGTCTATATTAACCCCGGTTCAACGAGGGTCGTTTTAAACTTCCGGATGAGGAAGTAAAGCCCACTATTCCATATCCACTGTGGAAAAGAAGAGCCCAAAACCATCAGCAAGAGAATAATACGCTGTTCATAAATTTGCGTATAAGTATCCATTAAGGTTGAATATAGGACTGTCATACCACTAGTACAAGTCTCGTGCGAAAATTCACACGAATTCGATTTTCATTTACAATTTTCCTTTTCCAATAGTCGTAAGCGTTACACTGGTCGTTCTATTTTCAGTTTACAAGAACTGTGCCGAAATTTACCAGTTCGGTATAAAGATCAATGGAGTGTACAAAATCAATCCTGATCGTTTGGGCGAATTTGAAGTGTACTGTGATCAGAAAACTGCTGGCGGAGGCTGGACAGTGTTCCAGAAGAGGCAAGATGGCTCTGTGGATTTTTACCGCTCTTGGGATGACTACAAAAGGGGATTCGGGAATCTGAACGGTGAGTTTTGAGTTGGACTGGACAAGATTCATCGTTTGACTGTAAGCGGCAGTTACAAGCTTCGCGTGGACGTAGAAGATCTTCAAGGCAGTACAGCATTTGCACAGTACAGTTCATTCGCTGTGACGAGCGAGAGGGTGAAATACAAGCTAAGTTTGGGAAGCTATTCAGGTACGTTATGACACCCCGGTTTGTGACTTCAAGCCTAATAAATCGAACATGAAGCTCAAGACGATTTTTGGTAAATACGCACCATACAATATAATTTGAGTTTGAGGCCTTCTCACCTTCGTTCTTCCCTCCCCTTCAGTCCTCTTTACTAGAAAAGCCTTGATGCCCTACCCAAGCTACATGTTGTAATGCAATTAATTTGGCCGAACCTGCTGTATCAGTATGAGAAAACAAGCGTTTTATAGTTTCTATAGCCCGTAAAACTATTATCTAGATCATATTGAACAGATGATTACTTTGCTTGGACAACATACCGCTTAATCAAACACCTTGCGAGCAACGCATATGAAAAACTAGGACGATATAATTCACGGTGTATTTGTTGTCTGATCGTTTTTTTAAGGTACCGCAGGAGATTCCCTTGCGTCTCACAGAAGATATCCATTTACCACCAAAGATCGTGATAATGACAGCAACAGTGGTAACTGTGCAGTGAAATATAAAGGCGCCTGGTGGTACGATAATTGCTACGACTCCAACCTGAATGGTTTGTATCTTCACGGCAAGGTCAATGATCAAGGAATGTCGTGGTACCATTGGAAAAAAAACTACTACTCTATGAAGAGATCTGAGATGAAGATACGTCCAAGGGATTTTTAGGATTCAATTATGTCGTTTCTTTCGGTAAAACAACCATGTATACGAGGGACGTTAAATAGCGTGTAATCAGGTGTAATGCTGAAAGGGTACTTTGCTTTAAATCTTATTGTAATCGCGCTAAGCTTTTAAAGACTATCAGATAGAGTTTGAAAATCTTATTTAGTTATCATTTACGAAGGCTCAGTGAGCTCTACGTTGCACATGGGCCCGGGGGGGGGGGGGGGGGGGG